GGGCGGGCTGTGGGCGCCGGGCCCGCCGGACAGCGGTGAGAGAAGGGCTCTGAAAAAAATCCGCGACGAAAACGCCCTTTTCAGGCCTTTTAATAGAAGACGCGGTATTTTACCGGTTTAGGATTGCGTTTAGGAGAAGTTAATATTTTTGACAGACTGTAATGAAGGCTTTTTGTTGGGGTTGGTTTTGGTTTTGTTTTTTAATGAGTCTGGCCAGCATTCAGGGAGATCAGGCACCTCTATATCATTCTAAGAATGTTCTTGAACGTGTCAGCTGCTCAGAGCGAAACCGAGCAGGAGTAGGAAGGGGCGAGGCCGTCTTAAGGCATGTAGCTTGTTTGCAGAAAAAATAAGAAAAAGACGCCTTCAGCGCCTGCCTCGGTGTTCTCGTGGAGCTCCGTGGCTCTCGCCGCGCCGGGCTGGGGGAACCGGGGCCCGCCGCCGCTCCGGGCTGCCTCGGCAGGGCTGGCAGCAGCGAGAATATTCTCTGCGGCTCCCACAGCGGAGTCTGGGCCAGGTTGTGTCGTGAGGGTCTGGAGAGCACCCAAAAGGTGCACTCTGTAGACAAAGTACTTTGTTCGACTTTTTTTGGTCGGGTAGCAAGGTAGAAATGCGGGCCAAAGTACAGCTCTGTAATGTTTAACTCTTCTGTCGTTAACCTGGTCATCCTTACACAGGAATAGCTGGGAGCAGTGTTACTTGTCTGTGGGCAGTCCCAGAAAGACTTAACATTTAACCAGCCGTGAATTAAAATGGCATTGTGTGAATCTCGGGTATTGTTGGGCACAGAGCAGGGTGACAGTTGCTCACACTTGTTAACTTAGCAGCTTTTTTGCTGGGGAAACAAGTAACTCCTTGCCTAGTGGACCTCACCAAAACATCACGTCTGTGCTAGTACGTGGAAACAAATTTGTGTAAACCCAAGCGCCCAGCCAGCCATCGGGATTTTTGATGTGTAACTTGGCTGCAAATCGTTTTTTTTCTTTGTCACGAAGAATTTTAGTTGTATTTTCAACTGAACGGCTTATGAACAGTGCGAGTACGGGTGTGGCCGGTTTACCAGTGACTTTAACATGCAGCATCCCAATTTTGGTGACAATCCCTGTCTGCTTTCAGTGTCTCCTGAGGCTACAGGCGGGTGTTTGAGGAGTACATGCGGGTCATTAGCCAGCGGTACCCAGACATCCGAATCGAAGGGGAGAACTACCTTCCTCAACCTATATATAGGTAAGGATACGGCTGGCACTACTGATTGTCTTTTTTCCAGTATGTAGGCTCCAATATGAGTGGTGCACATGTGCATTTGCACTTAAATAATACTGAAAATGCAACCTTAAGGTTTTTTCCCACTCTGATTACACAAGCTCGGTTACCTTCTCCCTTCCAGGTAGCCACCGTAGCTCTCACTGCGAGCGTTACCCTCTGATGTCTGTGTGATGAGGCCTGTCGTGTTCCAATCTAAACTAAACTATATAATTCACTTTCTTTTTTACAGTTAATTTTTCCAACTTTCCTTCATGATGTATCTGGACATCACATTTGTTGCTCAGGCTTATGCACGTAGTGACAAATTCCTGTAAGGGGTAAGGTTGGGAGGAGGGAAGAGCTTGGTTTTAGTGTGTAAGTCAGGGGAGAGCTGACCTCATCGGAGAGACTACCAGGGTGTCCTTCCCTACAGCTGGGGGTGCCGGGAAGCCCAGAGATAGTTGGAAAAAGACACAACAAAAATAGTGTTGTTGCTATTATTTAAACCATGGTGTACATGCTAGAGAGTGATTGCTGTAGTTACTGTCGCACCTTCTGAACCACTTCTTGACCTAATTACTGCAATAACTGCAGTGGTAAGAGTGCTGTGAGATTAAATACCTCCCTATTAATTTGCTCTCTGGCTGTAGGTTTAATTCTTACAAAAAACTGCAGGGTTTTCTGCATCAGCTGGGAAAATGCTTTACGGGGAGGTAGTGCCTGTCAGTTAAACGTGTCTAACGTGGAACTGTTTCTTTAAGAAACTGAATGTATTACCCAATTTAGGCACTTACAGGTTGAAAGCAAATTTCTATTGGAGGTCTGCTTAGGAGAAAAAAAAAGTGTGCATGGTGCACAAGAATGGTCTCCCTCTGAGGCTGTGTGCTTTTGTTAATGTGTGTTGCCTTTTTTTTCTACAGCAAGATAAACTTGAAAAGTTTTGTATTTCCTCTGAAACCCTTGATTGTACACTATCAAAATCCTTGTGATTAGGTGAATTACAGCTGTATAGTGGTGAAGTAGTAACTGCACCTTCTAAGTCACTTTTATGTGTTGTCTTTTGATAGGCACATAGCATCTTTTCTGTCCGTCTTCAAACTAGTATTAATAGGCTTAATAATCGTTGGCAAGGATCCATTTGCTTTCTTTGGCATGCAAGCTCCAAGCATCTGGCAGTGGGGCCAAGAAAATAAGGTAAACAGCATACTTTCTTCTTTTATATTGTAAAAGCAGCTTTAGAGTGACTTTAAGAGCGCTTTGGGAGTATTTCACAATCCTGACCGATTTAACCTTTGTACACTGCAGCCTTAACAGAACCTTTAGGCTTCTGTAACTAAATATACTTGAGAATTTTACACTAGTGTAATTATTTTTAATAGTGGTGCTTCTCGTTTTTGACAGACCCAGATCTGATTCTCAGCATCTCCGAGCTGATGGTGCTGTGGAGGGTCAGCTGAGGTTAATGACACTGACAAAGTTGATCATAGATTTTTTTCATTTTTTAGGACTTGAGTAGAGTTCCAAGCTGGTATATTGGTGGTGTTAAAATCACAGCTTCCCTTTTCTCTTGTCTCATAACTGTTCTGCAGTTGTTGCTTTCGTCAGACTCTTCATAGATGAGGCATGCAATTAGATGGTGATTAGAAAAACCAAGCTGAAATGTTGTGGCTGTGGGGGGACGGAGCAGGGGCTAACGGCGTGTCAGGGTTGCCAGCTGGGCCCAGGGATGCTCTGATCCGTCCGGGGAAGGTGGCGTGCATAATCGTTCTAGGAAGAGAAGGGAAGGAAGATGGCTCTGCAGTTGGGGGATTACTTGATGAATTGCAGAGGGGAGTACAGAGACACTCGTGAGCTTCCAGCACTTACTGACTAAAGCAAGCTGTGGCTGAAGTACGGGGGACTCTTCTCTTCTAGGTTTACGCCTGCATGATGGTCTTCTTCCTGAGCAACATGATTGAGAACCAGTGTATGTCAACGGGCGCCTTCGAAATAACTTTGAACGGTGAGCGAGAACGTGCCCTTGGGGGGAATCGTGGAGTGTTGGGTGTGTGCAGAGACTGGTGAGAGCTGCTGTGGTGGAGAACGAGGGATGTTGTGGGATGTGGTGCCTTCAGAAATGGGATGGTTTGTGGTAATTGCCAGCCATTTTGAGACTTCAGACGTTCTGTATCACAATAAATGTTGAAAATCATAGAAGTCTTATAAAGCAGCTTATAGATATCAGTCACATATATTTTAAAATAGCTGTGGGAAGAGTCATTTAGAGGAATGCTTGGGCATTTGCAGTAGTTGTGCTATGTTCTTTCTTTGCACATGGTGCACACTGAGTAAGAAATGATCAAGCAGGGAAGCATGATGAGCTCTCCAGTTAATTAGGTGCTTTCCCTGCCCCGTTATGATGTGGTTCACCCTTGGGAGCCTGTCGGATCCGCTGCTATTTCCAGATTTTTGGTACCAGTGGACAGCAATACTGATTTTTCTTCAGGTTAAGAGTCTGTGGACCTCCTGACTTCAAACAGTTTTACAGTTTCAGAATTTTTCGTGCTCTAGGCACAAGTCTGTAATCCAGGTCTGTGCTTTGTAATCTCAGTTTATGATGGCGCAGGGCACATTTCAGTGTCTGAGTCGTCGCACACTGCAGAACCTTTCAAAGGCTGGCAGTATTGCATCAGACTAGTTGAACTCAGTGCACCTCTCACCCTAAATCCTGGCTCAGAATCAGCAGCAGAACCTCCTTCGGGGTGAACAGTCACACCTGGACTTGTAAAAGTTTCTGGTTTGTATTTTGGGACAACATGGTTCCAATCTGGCTTCTGTTTTATGTAGATGACAGCAGTTGTATTTTCCAGAGTGGGTTTGTGAGGTGCTACAGCAGTGGGGGATGTTTGAGGGAGTATTTGCCAACAGCAGAAATGAATGTTGTGTTTACCCTGAAGTACTTGCGGGCTGTGCTGCCTTTTATGTTTCGGGGGGGGTTACAGCTACTTTGAGTGGAACCTTCCAAGCCAGATCTTGGTAAGCAGAACTTGTGAGCGCCAGGTTTAGGTGTTTTAGAGTGAGATGAAGACTAATGAGACCCACAGGTTTCAAAGATTTAGTGATGGTTTAAGACTTGCTATGTTACTCTGCCACTCTGTAATCTACTTTTAGACCTGCTGTCAGTGGGTATTTTGAACCTCTAAATCTGTATGATGTACTTCTAAATGGAAGCATTAGACTCTGGTCTCCTAGTTGGACAGATTTTAGTACAGCCAGGTGGGTGAGGCATTGTTGATCCAGATATTTTCCTCATTATAAAATCGTACTGACTTGTGTAGCTTCCTAGATCTTTTAAATTTTATGTTTAAATGTGTTTTCTGACTGTCGATGTAACGGTGCTTTCTCTCCCCTCCACGTGTTTTGTGGTAGATGTTCCAGTGTGGTCTAAGCTCGAGTCTGGCCACCTTCCTTCCATGCAGCAGCTTGTACAAATCCTTGATAACGAAATGAAGCTCAATGTGCACATGGAGTCAATGCCTCATCATCGATCATAGCCCCATCTATCAGCACTGAAACTTCTTGTAAGTCTTTTTCCAGCCGCCAGCTCTCTGCTGGCTTGGCTGTGAAGGGTTACGTGGTCTGGTTGTGTATCTGTGCATTTGAAAGTCTTTTACCAGAGAGCCGGCTCTAGTGCCTTCAAGTACATGGACATGTATGATTTTACTGTTTTGGTGGGAGGTTCTGGTTTGGGGGATGTTCTGCCTGTGTCAGAAGGGGGAGCTGGCCTTCCTTCGGGCAGGACCGATGTGTTGCTGCGTGCAGAAGGCCTTGTGTTAGTGAGTGGTGTTGGGCCGAGACCAGAACACACTCTGCATTCCCAGCCTTGAAACGGCCGGTCCGCAGAGGGTTTCTCTACAGTGTGTAACCTACTCGAGTTGCTTGACCCCAGAAAGTAGAACGTTTTCCTGCCCCTATTGGTGCTGCTTTAGCCCTTTGCTCCCAACAGCCAAGGAGTATTTGCAGAGGGTTCACATCCGTCCTTAGACACTGGATGACAGACCAGTTCCACATCCCCTGTGGCTTTCAAACATTTAGCCTATGGTTCTTCGTAGCAGTGCTGATGTGATACAGAAGGCTTATCTTGATGCAAAAATAGACAGTTGGCACTTAGGAGACCCGTTCAGTGAAGTTCTGGGTTGCTGCGGTGCAGTTTCTGGCACAGGAACTCTTTGGTTTGAGACTGGTTCTTGGCATTACCCCGCTCCCAGTGACAGACCCTGTGCTGCCGCCGTGGCCGGGCGGCTCCTGGGGCTGATGAGCTGGTCCCAGCCGCCTGCGCGGTTCCTTCGGGGCTCTCTGATGCCGTTTGGCTCCTGCAAGTTCCTCTGTATGGAGGCCAGGACACAGCACGTGGGGGGCACGTTCAGAGAGCCCCGAGCCCCGCGGGCAGTCTCACTCCTCCTAGGAAATCACGCTTCAGCCCGGGCTCGCTCGGCTCCTCCTTGCCGATTCAGAGCTCAGACTCCAAACCCTACTTTTATTCCCCATCAACCGCTCCCTCCACTCACCCTCCTACGGCTTCCTGCAGCAGGGAGAGAACTGGGAGAGACTGTGGCCCCGAAGCCCTCCTGCAGGGAGTAGCAGGAACAGTTGACTTTCCATTCCTGCAGGCATCTCCTCTTGTCAAGTCTGGTTTGTCCTAGTAACTTGGCAGAAGTCACCTTAATCATGAAATAAGCTGTTTTCTATTTATAAAATGATCCTTAGTATTAAGAAGTCTGGTGTTTCCTGCACTTCTGAGGTGCTGAAGCCCAGCATCCCCTGTGCAGGGTTGGGGGGCCCTTTGCTGGGAGCAGGCTGGTGTGGCTGCAGCTCACAAAGCGCGGGAGACTGTTCTGATGCAGAATTCTGTGTAACGGGGCAGGAGCCCAGAGAGCTGCTGTGCCTCCGTGTCTCCGTTCCCGCTGAGGGGGCGTCACTCCGAGGGCCGTGCCGGGGGTGTCCTCGCCTGGGACACGGGCACTCTGGCACGAGTTGCCGGGCGTGGGGGTTGCCGGGCGGCTCGGAGGGGCGGGTGCTGCCGTAACCGGTGTCTCCTCCCCAGGCATTAAGTGGCGGTTCCCGGCAGCGCGGCGCGACCCATGAAGGTCTGTACTGAAGACAGCACGCTGTTAGTGCAGACTGGATGCTCCTCTCGCCGCCGCGTTCTGCCTCCTGACAACAAACTTAATGGAAGAGCTCTTTCAGTGCTGGCGTGTTTCCAGATACTGCACAGTCACGGAGTGCAATAATACTGTATAGTTTTTTTAAGATTTCATTCGACCAGTTCATAGCTCAACAATGCAGGCATTACTAATTGTAACTTATTTTATATTCATGTTTCACACAATGGCAGATTAAGTTGATACCTAATTTTTCCTCGGAAAAAAAAAAAAGTTTGTTTAATCTGTTGTATTTTATATGAATTTATGTTCTTTTTGTAGTTTAAAATGAAGCTATAGGAGTGTCTGATATTGTCCTAAACAGTTAAGTAATTGACAGCTGTCTATCAAATATCTCTAATGTGGTTAAAGCAGGTTTGTATATTTTTCAAAATATATGGCAGAGTTGAACAGTGCGTTATATACTAAATTATATAAACAAAATTATATGCAGAGTAGTTACATCATTTTGTGACTTCAATTGAAAATTGAGACCGACTGCTCTTTGAATTGTGTTGGCCAGCTCAGGGTTTTCCCTGACCGTTCTGAGGAGGTGAAAAGCTGGGCCTTTCTACTGTCCCAAATAGAAACGAGAAGGTTAATTTTGAATAAAGAGTTCTCATTTACTGTGTGAAGTACCTTGTTTGAGTCACTGGTGGATATTCTTAGAACTGCAATTGAAAAAACGCATAAAAAGCCTCCCTTCCAAAGTCACTAATCCTGTGTTTGTCTTGTCTCAGCACGCGGAGCTTCGCCGCCAGAGCTCGGCTGGACGGGACCTGAGGTCTGTTGTAGCGGGGGCGGGTGGCTGGGTCGGAGCGGGGGGCTCCCCGGGAGGCTGCGGGCGTGGGGGTGGGCTGCGCTGTGCTCCCTGCGCAGGGACCCCCGTCCCTGGGAGCCCCCCCCTCCTACCGACCCTGCGGGAGAGCTCCTCGGGCGGGACGAGGCGGGGACGCGCAGAGCCATGGCTGCCTGTGGGAACTGCCTGGCCCTGCCCGCGGCTTGGGGGCTGGTGGTGAAGCGTTGGGTCCCCCCCGCTGTCCCATGGCTGTGGCAGAGGCCGGTGCGGGTTGTTACGAGGGTGCTGCTGTCGCAGCCATGAACCACAAAGGCCTCGTGGCTGCTTTGGCCCTGCTGAATTCATCTCTTGGGCAGTTCATGCCTTCTCTTCTGAAACAGATTAACCAATGTTGTCTGGTGTGGGTAACAGTTTCTCATCAGTTACAAACTTCAGACAAATCAGAACACATAAATGCAGAGGTGTGTTGCTAGGCTGAGGTTTTCCGTCAGCTGTTCCCAGTCTTTCCCTAGCGATGCCCCCCCTGTTCCTTCTCTTCCCCCTGGGCAAGGTGGTTTATTGAGATGTTGGGGTTGGGTCTGCGAGAGCCTTTGCTGACAGCTCTTAAACGCAGGGGCAGGTCCTGCCCGGGGGCTGTGCTCGTGTCTGCCCAGGCCCCGCCATCGCTGTTCACCAAAGGAAAACGGAGCAATAAATGGAAATAAAAGAACCATGATGGTTGCTATGGCAGCGATACCTGCCAGCCGTCCCCTAACCCAGACGCCAGCCCACAACTTGCTCTCTGGGGTGCTTTGGCCAGAGCTTGCTCTAGGCTGAAGTTGGTGCTTCTGGTGGTCTGGCCTAAGCCCAGCTGAGCCCTTGTGGCTCCCAGGCAGCCCCAGCCTGGAAGTCCATGTCTGGCAGAGCAGGCATTGCGTCCCCTTCATCCCCACGCCCCCCAGCCCCCAGAAATACCTGGCCTGGGGCTTCCTGGGCCCTCAGCTCCCTCTGTGTCCCGTGATCCCCAAAGGGCTTCTCCTCCCTGAACCAGCTCGTTAAACGCAGCTTTAGTGGAGGGGGGGTCCCGTGGCCACCATCGCTGGGGGCAGGGGCAGGCCCAGACCCACGTCCTTAGTGGTAAAGTTGCTGTTCTTTGCTCTCCTGCATAGGGCTACTTTGTCATTTTAAAATGAGGGTGTAGAGACCCGTGTGTGGGCACGTGATTGACCTCGTCAACATGCGGACTGGTACTAAATCATAACACTGAGGGCATCTACCTCGTGCCGCGGGGCAGCTGCTCAGCCCGGGCTGGTTTCTGCTGGGAGAGCAGAGGCCGTGCGGGAGCGACGAGGTGGCATCACGGAGGGATTTACCCCCAGCACAGCCCCTCGTCGTGCCTCATGGGCTGCGATACTGGCTGTCTGAGGTGGGAGGGCCCCAGGGGAGGGGTGGCCGTGGGGGAACCTGGCAGAGCCTCTCGGCCGCGCTCCCCCGTCGCAGCAGCCGCGTGTGGGGCAGACAGCGTTCACCATCGCCCAGAGCGAGCTGTGCAGCTCTTCGCCGACGTCGGGAGCAGTGCAGAGCTGCGAGATCTTTGGGGGTCTGTGTGGTAAGGCACGGCCGGGGGCTTCGTTCTGTCCCGTTGCTCGTTGGAAGGAAAGTTGAGGCACCACCGGATTCTGTCTAAGAGCCGCAGGATCCGCAGCCTGAGGGTGAGCAGCAGGAGCTCGTCTTTGCCCAGCCGGGTGGGGGGAGGCCGCTGGCCGCCGGCACTGGCCTGGGGAGTGGAGGCCGAGGCTGTGGGCAGAGCCACAGCAGCGCGGGAAGGGGCTCGGGGGCTGCAGTCG